GTTAACAAAGCGCTTATTCGTGAAAATGAGAGTTTGCAGGATGAACTCGGACGAAGCTGATGAAGACGTAAAGATGAAGAAATAGATGAAGGTCATTGAGGAAAGCGAACTCAACATAGTAGTGAAGACGAAAGTGATGAAGAGGGGTATGACAATAATAAAGCAGCAAGGATTCGTTTAAAAATTCTTTAACTTTTCTGAATTCTAATTAAAATAACTTTAATTCTAACTGATTTTTAATTTAATGTAACCTACATCAATCAAATTAACTTAATTCAACTTTTATTTTTATTATAATTTAGAATGAAATGAGAACAATTTTAATGACATTGCCGACCGATCTCGAAATGAGATATGATCTTAAGTTCAGCAGTGAAAAAAATACTGAAATATTATGAAAAGTAATACTACGTCTCGTCGATGCATTAAAAATATTCAAAATGACATACAAATAAGTCAAGGAGTGGCTTAGCGTCCTTCACAGGCATCGACGAATTCATTTATTATATAAATAACACAGTACTTTGGATCGTGATAATCAGTGTTCACACAAAAACAGTCGCATCAGTGAGATAAATATCGAAATTATTTTTTTATAAAAAAAAGCAACTTCAATTAACTTTTGATATTTTTAATATATAAAAAAGCCTGAAGAATCAAAGGTACCAATTTGCTTTTGATTTAGGCGATGAGAGAGTTTCGAAATATGATAAGAAAGTGTTATTGAGGAACTTGAAGAACAATCATTATCATTCCCTGAAGATTCAGAGACAGATTCAAAAGAGAAGGGAAAACAATCAATTAACGTTTATAATCTGAGCTGGAAATCAGACTAGATTTGATAATTTTTTAAAATTTATTTATAATTTTAGTTAAGTTTTTAACTAATTTCGATATTTAATTTTATTAGTTAAGGGCATTATTATGAGAGCTTAACCATCATGCGTTCTCGCTGCAAATTGCACAATTGATAAAAACTCAAAATTATAACGACTATTTTACAATACTGATTTGTCATCCTCGAAATGCTCCTGACTGGACATTTGTAGACCAAAACACTCCAGCAGGCACTGACATTTCCGCATCTGAAACCAAAATTGAGGATCAAGATGATTACGTTGAAGAAAAAGAATAAATTTGACAAATTATAAATTATAGTGAATTGTTCTCTATTGTTTATCTATATTTGTATTTATTATATTTTATAATTATATTATATTTATATTTTGTTTTATATTTTAAATTAATAAACCAATTATTATTAATTTGATTAAATTACGTTATTATAAAATTAATAAATCATTTAAAATGCGAAAATAGATATTAATAAGATCATTTAAATATCAAAAATTTTATTTTACCGATTTTTTGATTACTTATAGCCGAAATATTACTGAATTTTTATTAACTAAGTCGAATTTTATTTGTTTTATTAATTAAACGAATTTAAGCCAATTGTATCAAATATATAACTGAAATATTACCGAATTTTATTAACTAAGTCGAATTTTGTTTATTTTATTAGTTAAACAAATTTAAACTGATTGTATCAAACATATCAAACTACTACCAACTGTTAATGTCAAATGTTTTTTTGTGTGGCATCTGAATTGGACAACATCGGTTATAACTAAAAATGCCGATTGTTTTGGCAATAATCAGTAGAAGTTAGATTATATTTTGGCCAACATTCGGTACTTTAAAAAAGTGACGAAATGGATTATTTCGACTAGTGTGAAAAACTCTTTTTCCTCGTTGGATTTTTTCCAAGAATTTTTACTTTAAAAAAGTGCCCGTTTAACGGCAGTCGCAGCTTAGCCTACGAACAAAACAAAAAATCCCACCTTTCAAAAATATTTCTCTTTTTGTTCCCTATACCCCTCTCCACATAAAATTTTTGAAATAGTTTAAACCGTGTTGTTTTTTGTTAAAATATTTTTTCTTCACTTCTTTTCGAAAAATTTTTTCTGTTTTTTCTCTTTTCTTTTTTGTCTACTAAAAAGTGGGCATCAAGGGGTATCTCAACTGACGATCATGATCAACTTACTTTAGATAAACAAATCTCACGTGATGATCCCCTTTCCCTTTCTAAACATTACATTCTCTTTTGATTGGCCTCTGCCTTTCTGCTGATCCTTTGTCGTCAAAGATCACATGCAAATTTAGCGATATTATTCTATATGGTGTGGTATAGCTTGCTTCCAGAATGATCCTAATCCCTTGATTTGGTTAGCATCCAAAAAACCATTAATTCTTTCCTTGCCTTGGCTGGCTGACTTGGTTCAGTTGGTAGTAATCCAAAGTGATTTCACCATTAGATCCTTCCTCGCTGACCTTCTGTGAATGTAGCTTAATTTTGTAGTAGATTCCTCGTGATATTTTTTCTGTACTTATGAATCTATAAGTATGAAGAGCCTTTGTTTGGACCTAGTTACTTGGACGCACCTTCTTCTGCTAGGTGATCGCTTTAAGCTGGAATTGACTGGACTTTAACTAGGACTTATAAAGTCATTTTTTTTATTTGTTTGAAAATTTCTATTTGTACCAATTCCCTACTTCGGGTGTTATTTTTAGTGTTAGATTTTTCTTTTGAAGGAAGTTAGGGTTCGACGGATATTTAGAAATTAGATGCTTTCTGACACTTTATTTCTACCTCCTTCAGGAAGTGGCGGTGATCAGTCGACTCAAACAAGTTTGAAATAGAATCACAGGGGGTAAGTTGCATATTTTAGTATTTTTTTAGATTCTTGTCTTTAAATTTTCAATACAAAATAAAGTACTGCAGCTAGACTGCATCGTTAACAAAAAAAAATTTATTTCGACTAGTGTTATATTGCAATTAAATTTATTAATATTAAAATTAGATTACAACTCAAATGAAATTTAAAAATAATTATGGAAATCATCTTTATTAATACTATTAAGAACTTTATTTTAAATTCAAATTATTTTATTTATAATTCTTTATTATCATATATTATAAGTCAAATAATAGTAAATAGATAATTAATTATATTAAATTTAGATTACTAGATTTGATCCTATTAGTTACTAATTTTTTTTTAGATTAAGTAATCTTGATTGATAATAAAAAATAGTATTAAAAGGAAAAATTAAAGTTCTAATCAGAATATTATAAAGGTATTAGTATGATTATTATTATTAATAACTAATATATGAAGTCTTACAATAGAAAGCAAAGTAAATTGCCAAATTTATTTTTATGTACCAAATATGATTTTTAGGTTAAAATAATATTTAAATTTACACTAGTCAAAATGATACAATTTGATCAAAAATCATATATCTGAATTGTGTTTAAATTATAGCTGAATTTTAATAAATTTGATTTAATTCCTATTAGTACTATTAGCATCAATAGGACCAATTTGAACATAACAATTCAGATACAATTCAACCTAAAAATTAAACCTAAAATTAATCTAAATTCAGTCACAATTCAGATACAATTCAATTAAAAATTATCTTAATTCAATCACTTAAATCAACTACAATTCAATCACCTAAAATCAACTACAATTCAAATATAATTCAGCCAAAAATGCCTGAACCTTCATATGGTATTTTAAAAAATCAACCTAATTCAACCACCTAAATCAATTAAAATTTGAACACAATTCATTTACAACTTGATCTAAATTCAGATATAATTCAGATAAGGTTGCTAGACGAAATCAAGAGTTTAGACAGATGTCTAAATGGTAAAAGTAAAACTTGGTTAAATTATATTAAAACCTTATTAAAAATTTGCGAAATTTGAAAAAAGGTAAAACTATATCAAAGCTTATAAAAATGGCGAAACTATATCAAACACTTAGTAAAAATTTAGCAAAACTAAAGATTTAACCATTTTGCCAAATCCAAAATAAGTTTAGTCAAGCAACCTTAAATTCAGATGTAATTTACATTTCAATTTATTTAATTTATATTTTATATTTTATAATGATTTTATTTAATAATATTAAGCAAATAAGCAAAAAAAAATATTGTTTTTTCCTTCTAATTTTTAAAAATTAAAACTAAAAAACCAAATGCAAAAAAGTAAATTGTTTTACCTATTCTCAAAAAAAGAAATATATGATTTATTATTATTATCATTGTAGTCGTTCAATCACCTTCAAATTTTTAAATTAAACTAAACTAAAAAGCAAATAAGCAAAAAAATAAATTGTCATACCTGCTTTTCCAATTGTAAAAAAAAAAATAAATAAAAATAAAAAAATAAAAATGCAAAAAAAAAGAATAATATAGGAGGTTTGCTAGGAAAGTGGGATTCTGAGCATTTTTTATTAAAATTTTAATTTTTATTGTATTTTAATTTTTGATAATGTTAGATTAATATGCAATAAAAATTAAAATTTTTAAAAAAAATGCTTAGAGTCCTATTTTCCTAGCAAACCTCCCATATGTGAAAAAAACTAAAAAACAAAATAAGCAAAAAAAAAATATTGTCCTACCTGTTTTTCCAATTATAAAAAAAAATCATTATCATCATTATATCTACTATTTTGAGATAGTTGTCACTATTAATTATTCATCTCAAGATGATCATTAAAATTATAGAATTCGTTATTACCAATCACTAATATTTGCCCACATTTTTCTAGTAAACCTCTTATATATAATCTCTCATATTTATAATCATGTAATTTTTAAAATCCAAAAGTAGTGATTATAGATGGATCTGATTAAAAATAGGCATCATAATTAAGAAGTTGCAACTCAGTATGTTGCAACTTCTTATAAATTTATTTTAATATAAAAATTCATAAATAGTTGCAATTCAAAGTGTTGCAACTTAAGTTGCAACTAGTTAAAATTTTTAAAAATAATTATGGGAACTATCTTTAGATCTAATTATATTATAAAATATATGTTATAGATATTCTTACAGATCCACATATTTCTAAATAAATATTCATATAAAATTACTATCTGAGTATTTATATAATATATTTACAGGTCAGATTACTATTAAATCAATTGTTTAATTTGATATTATATTTTTCTAGAATTGTTGAAATCTTTTCAATTATGGTGATTAATATAGCATGTTCCATCTGTTGTAAGTTACTATCATAATTACCCTCTTGAATAGTAATACGATTTCCATCTTTAATTTCATATTCACATTTTTTTTAACTACATGATAAGCTAGAACTGGATGATACCCATAACCTAAACCTGATATTGAATTTAAAATAAAATATTATCTTTATTATTAAACAATATTATTTTATACATTCAATTTTTTTTTGAAAATATATATATATATATATAATAAGTTATCACAAACTAACTATTAAATATATAGCCAACCTTCTAATTCTTCATTAAAGATAATTTCTCCACTAGCTTGTGAAGTTTTACGTATATGACTCCATGCATAATCGAATGATACTTCTAATATGTCTTGACCATTACTTTGTAATTTTTCATATGCTGTCACCAAAGCATCTTCAGCACTAAAGTTTGCTACTTAATATAAACTTGGGAAAAATTCTTCTTGCTTATTAAAATATTGCTGATGTCTATTTTGTCTTGTAATTCCTAATAATGCTAACATAGATCACAATTCTTCCTATTAACGCCTTCAACTAAACCAGCACTTGCTAAGCATTTAGAGAAATCATCTTCTGACCTTTGATTATAATATTTCGATTCACCAGAACATAGTATACATGTCTTAGTAACGCAAATTCCCAATCCATTAGTTTTGATTTTAGTTTTGTGGGTTGAAGGATTTATATCATGACATGTGACACATGGTTGATTTAAAATTAGTTCTAAAAAGATATCAGTACTAACAAGAATGGTAGAACCCAAACGTCTTTTTTGAACAAGTTTTTGAATTTTTAACTCTGATTTATCATCATTTTTATCATTTTTATCATTTTCATCATTTTCATCTTCACTAAAAAAAAAATTTTATATTAGAATATATATCAAGTTAAAGAATAATAAAAGTTTATTAATTAAAACAAACCTAGTCAGATTCATTCTCTTTTTTAATTTTTAATCTATAAATGGTATCTAATGATTGATATAAGTACTTTTTAGTTGTTTTTAAAATATTCTTCATTTCATTCATTTGGTTTTGCGATTCCATTAATTTCACACCTAAAGCTTGTACTATTTCATTTGATCTTTGCCATCCATCAGTTACAATAGGTAATCCCTCTCTGATAATTCCTTTATTGTAAGTATCCTCAAAATATAAATCCTCTTATAATTCTTTAGCCTTTCATTTTGCTTGTTTAAGAATATTATTACGCTGATAATCAGCATGAAATAATGTTTTTTCTAATTGAAAAAAGCTTGAAATATGTTGTGAAATAAACCCTCTAAGCCATTCTACATTTTCTTTACAAGTTAACCCTAATAAAAATGGTACTGATATTATTTCCAAGTATTTGATGCGTGGAGTATTTTTAATGTGCGATCGTAAATTAGAAAGATTATCAAACATCACATGCTATTTTTGTATATTTGTAAATGTATAATCGTTTGCAAAATCATTCTATATGTATAAAATGGTATTTTCTTTATCACACCACTTTAAATCCAATCTAAAATATGTTTTTCCCAATTTTGTATAAATACAGTAACTGGGAATTAAAGGTACAAAAACTTTATTATTGAAATCATTTTCTATTCCAGCCAATTTGAGTAGTAAATAAATATTATTTATATTATTCATATTGGTTTTATTAGAAAGAGTTGAATGTTGTGGTAGAATTCGTAAGAATTTAGTATCCTTCCAAATAAAAATGGTTCGACCAGGTTTAAAATACTTGTGACGTTCATTATTTGCTTCTAGAAAATACTTGGTCTACTTATTATCATTCTATTATAAAATAATATAATTATTAGTAATCTAAAAATAGAATATAGCATATTCGTATAAAAAGCAGAGGTACATATAGTAACCTTCAAAAATAAAGTTTCACCATTATATCGCAATATATGTAAAGTTGTAGAGTGTTAAGTTGAGCTGCTGATCTTTGAGTTTGGCGGAGTAAAAGTACAAACTGAGCTAATTAGGTGAGATAATGAACACTTTGAGAGTATAATGATCACATTACAGCTAAACTACGTCTTTATTAAATCTTTGTAAAAAGCAAATAGAAATCAAAATTTATAATTTACAAAAAGAAAATAACGCTTCTTAGGGCAAAAAAAATTTTTTTAAGCAAAATTCATTCATTAGTTATTAACTTAGCCTTATCACACTTTTTTCAATCGTATAATATTAGCTTTGGACCATGATCAGCATATGGGGTGTGAGCTAGGAAAATGACCTTCTGAGATTAATTTACCATTTTGAGTAAATGATAAACAAAGCTT